CACACGAGTACCCTTGGTTCACAGGGCAGATGTGAATTTAAAGGAAGGCCAAGCCTTTTGCCATATCATATTCTTTGGTGGGATTGTCGATAAAGCTATAACAATAGATTACGTTAATTATTTTTCGTGTTTGAGTAGAGTTTCGAGACTACCAGTATAATCGGTAATATGAGATGTATTCACCATATTTCGTTTAAGGTGATGAAGGACTGGACCTTAAACGAAATAGGGTGAATACATCTCATATTACCGATTTACTGGTAGTCTTGAAACTCTACTCAAACACGAAAAATAAATAATAATAGAATATTAATACATACAGAGGCATATATACTACCATACGAAGCCGAATAAGGATAAAACAAGGAAGATGATCTCGTAGTATGTTGCATTGTACGAGAGTTTGGATAAAAGCTATGTACTAGAAATGTCTTTGTTGGTTTTATAGTAAAGATAGGGTTGACTCAAGTAGTGAACCTTTTAAGTGCTTGCTAAGTAATAGAAGAAAGGGTGTAAAGCAATCTAGTTAAAGCTTGAACGCTCTAAACGACCTTTATAAGCCAATTTTCATGGAAAAATAGCAACCACTTAAAATTAATAGTTATATGAACAATTTCCAACTAAAATTAAATACGAAAAAAATTGTGCTCTTAATGAGAACATTTTTATTTACTTCAATTGGAACAGTCTAGGAATTTCGCTATTCCAAGCTTTCTAAACTTGGAAGTTTTCTAAGCCAAAAATTAATAACCAAGGATTAAGCGGAGTGCGACCAAGCAGAAGACCACACCAACTTGATCTTTATATCTACACTTGAACAAAAAATTGGTCAAGGGGATTGCCTTCACTTGTCACTTTGATAAGTTGTAACTCTGTGCTTACGATGGCATCTCTCACTGACTATGCTGGCGAAGCATTTGGGAATGTACCCAGCCAAAGGCCCAATGCTGGAAATCACGAATACTATGGCAGAGGACACGGGACTAGGTACGTTACACAAGGTCTCCTTGATGCTGCAACCAAATTGAGAAAGCAAGCTCAAACCAACACTATACAGCTAAAGGAGACTGCGACCAAACACAAGGCCATGCCACATTGGTTTTCTAATCTGCGTTCATACACTTTTACTTTCAAATTTTACTCAAGCAAATAAGGATGCCTTCACTTACCTTGGAAGTATCCAATGTTAATGGTTAATGAATAGAGTAATTTTCTAAAGGCTCTCATGGAGCGACGTTTATTATTATATGCCAATCGATACAATTCTCAGGCAAAGGATAGCAACTATCAGTCCCTATTCACCTCAACGAAATAGACTGACTATATCTCATATAAAGGATAGTAACTTAGCCACATTTTTATGCCCTAGTACAGCCTTTAAATAAAGTTTATTCCATGACCTAATTTAATTCAAAAAGCTAATTGTCAGTATTTAGATAAAATCAATCGTTTAATAATCAGAGGCTAGTTCATTGATCACAGGGGGTTTGGTAGGGAATTGAGAAATCATTTATGTGAAAAGTAAATTGAACTTAATCGAAGCAAGCAGTATCACAACATTTGTGGGTTGGCACACAAGAGACTAGAGCATAAGTATAGAAACAGGGTAGACGCAGCGGAGACTAGAGCTAGTTGGCTAACAGTAGACGGCTGACAGTTTTACCAGAGACGTGGTCCATGAAGCAAAGGCTAAACCATGACAATTAATCAGGGGCTCTAGCCTCAAGTTAGTGCCCCAGAGGCAGTGTGGGAAATAACGCCTCGAGTAGCCCATTAAGGGGAGGCAGGGGTCGAATGAAATGCTTAAACCAGGGAGATAGCAGACGGATCCTACGAGGCAAGAGGGAATCTGATAAGGAGGACGGCGTAACAATAGATCAGACGCTGATCAGCATTCCCAGCACAAGGGTGAAAAGGAGTAAGGTAGGTTAGGGGGTAAGAAAGCCAGCGCCGAGTTCTCATGAGATCCCTCAAAAGGGCACACCATACCACATTTAAATAAGCAAGTCAAAAATTGCGATAGTGAAAGCATGATACGATGATATAGGATTGGTGATTAGCCCAGGGCGGAAGGAGAGATACCACAATTGTTTAGCACACGTTTGCTCAAAGGATCGGCTTCACTCGTCTCTTTGAAGAGTTGTTATGTGGTACTACGAATGGCGAGACTCACTGACGATGCCGGCTAAACCTCTGGGAGTGTACCACGTCCACGGTCCGACTCTGGAAATTATGATGCACACTATGGACTCCGAACTAGGTGCGTTCCTCAAGGTCTTCCTGCCAATATGACCAAGTTGCAAAAACAAGGTCAAACAAGTTCTATACAACGAAAGGCGACTGTGACCACACAGAAGGCCACACCATCTTTGTCTTCATACCTTCGAATAAATTATGGTTTACCGGAAGGCGGACCATATCCATAATTATAAAGATTGTATACTAAAGCTACCAATGCAAAAGCAACCAATTCATAGGTTAATAAGGAACGATAATAAAAGTAACACATTTTGATTATCAAACAAAACAGAAGCATTAGAGTATGACAAATGGGTTATTAAAGAATTGCAGTACAAAACAGGATAGAATAATGCTATTTTTTTATTCATTGGTGCTTTTCACAAAAAAAAATTTACGAAACAAGAACAGAAAAAATAGTGTTTATTTTACTATTCTAATTCATTGGTGTAATAAAAAAAGATTTAGAAAAGCTGAAATTTGTGCAGCTCTGCCTTATAATTGGTTTCCTTTAATCGGATAT